AGTGCTATTATAGTAAGCCTATTGAAAATAACCTTGCTTTTCCCTTTTTTTAAGGTTAATTTAGTAAGTTGTGCTACCTCTATATCATTCAATGTTTTACTTTGAGGAAAGATAACTTATGCAATTCCTGAGTGTAGAAACTTCTTGCACTTATTTAAAATTTAAGAGCGAACCTATTTAAGTCACTCAGGTATGATATTTTTCAGATTTCTGAAATCCTTCTAGCAGAAATGTTTTCATATATTTTGGGAGCTTTGGGTGCTGAAGGGCCAAATGTTTTCTGGGCATTTTTTTCTTTTGGCCAATTTAAATGTTCTGCCATTAATTAGATATTCACCAGATGTTTACAAGTTTCCTTTTGGGAAGTACAACAACCCTATGAACTATTTTAAGTCATGTCCATGCAACTTTATTAGATATTTTAGTCATGTTCTTAACCTTTTCTTGGGAACACTCAGTAAGTGTTACATATAATCAGCAGGTTTCTTGAATAAGAAGGTCTGTCAGGTACTAGCCTGCTTTAAGCGCCTCCTATGTGTAGAACATTGAACTAGACACTTTCTGCCCTGAAGGACCAGGGTGCTTTCACTGTTTACCACTCAAATTGCTCAGTTCATTGGGGTCACTTTGACATGAAATGGTAAACCATAAAACATGCCAAAAATGCTCATGCTTTTAATGCCACGAAACAGTTGCCGATCCGCTCTGAGTACTTTGATCCTGCTGTGTGCATTCTTCTAGGTAGAGCCTTCCTTTGAAAATGCTGTTTGCTTTTTAAGTACTAGGGACCGATACCACTGTTGATGAGAGTGCAGAGACAAACCCTCCACATCTTTCAGTGCATAATTTAGTTCTCTGTAAATGCCTTCACGTTTTCCGAGCAGAATGTATGAGATGTGCCATCTCAAACTCAGCTGCTACCCTGTACCTTTGGGAGAAGTCACTTCCCTTCACTTGTGGCCTAGCTGATACCTGATAAGTATTGTCAGTGTGCAAAAAAGTCTTTACCCCAGAATGTTTTTTCCTGGTGAATTGAGTCTGAAAATTTAAGGAATACAAGTCTCTTCGTGGATGGATGCGTTGTTAACTGTAATTGTTGCCCAGAGCCATGGGTTTTAAAACCCCAAATTATCCACATGGTGTGTCTTACTGAACTCCTTTGAATAAATTTTTGTGATAAAGGGTTGAAATGGAAAGAAAAGAGGCACACGTGGGTGCACTACATAGATTCTGGCAGTATTGTGATTGTGTACAGGATTTTTTAAAATGACAATATTTACACAACTTTTTAAAAAGTATCTTATCATGCCTATTAACCAGTTGCCACTGATATAAAGAAGTATATTCGTGTTTCATACTAAAACGCAAATGCCAGAGTGCAATTTTTAAATCTAGAAGTTAGGAGTTCTTTAGTTAATGAAAAATGGACTGACCCAAACCATTAAATCTTATTGGGATTTTTATGCACAGAAACTGACTTATATAAATATTGAATAAACAGTGCCAATCTTCACCATAAAGTGAGAAACTAACATTTGGTTTTATTCAGCAATTTTCAAAGGCATACTTTTTTTCTTATATTTTTGTTTCTTGGCATATTATTTTCAAAATCGTTATTGTCATTTATTTCAGGTGGACATAGGCATTAAAGTTCTTGCACGTAAAATATATAATTTGCAAATTAAAATTATTTTTCTTTTTTTTTTGACAAATGGAAGTAAATTTGCTTGTTCTACTAAATCATTTTTAGGCTTCCCAGATACTTTAATTGAAACTGTCAGTGTTGCACTGGTCAATATGTGGAAACATATTGTTCTCCCCTCTACTTAACATTTATTTGCAAGTGAATTTGCAGTAATGAGGATTTTATGAAAAATGTGTTTCTTATGATGTTACAAAAAGTAGCACTTGTAAAACTGATTTATGAAAACATCCTACATGTCCTAGAAAAATAAAGACCAAATTAACATTTTCACAATTTTCTGAGTTTGTCTTTTTTATGACCAGAATTTTATTTACTAGTTTATTAGCTCTCCCCTCCCTCTTCCCTTCTATGCTTTCTGTTAAGAAAATGTTTTATTGAACTTATTGGTGTGACATTGTTTAAGAAAATTACATAGGCTTTAGGTGTGCAATTCTATAATATGTCGTCTTTTCAGTGCAATTTGATGTGTTGCTATGTCTCTTAGTAAAAAAGGGAATATCCTTCCAATGACGAATTACTCTGTCATCTTTTTTTTTCCTAGAATACAGTCTCTCTTTTACTCATGCGTTATTAGCAAGTTCAATAGTGCCTTTGTTTCCTGATCCAAACAAATCCCGGTTTTGCACTGTGCTGGAGTTACCACATTAGACAAATGAATACATCTGTTAACTGTTGTGTATGTGAACTACGTAATTATACTTGGTTTTGTATGCTATTTTAAGAGAAACTTGAATTTTGATTTTATTTACAGAAATGCAGCTTCTCCAACCCCTTTTGTTGGAAGCAGTGGAAAGCAGTCACCTACATTGGTACATTCTGATTTATCTTATTCTGAAACTTATTTTTGGCAAAATCAGGATATAGATCTGTTTTTACTTTTGTGAAATATTTTTTCAAAAATATATTTTTTTATTGGTTTCAGAGAGGAAGGGAGAGGGAGAGAGAGAGAAACAACGATGAGAGAATCATTGTTCAGCTGCCTCTTGCACGCCCCACACTGGGGATTGAGCTCACAACCTGGGCATGTGCCCTGACCAGGAATCTAACCATGACTTCGTGGTTCATAGGTTGATGCTCAGCCACTGAGCTACAATGGCCTGGCTTGTGAAATATTTTTAAAACCCTCTTTATCCTCTGCATTCCCAAAAGAATTGGCTAGATGTGGTTATATTATATCATCCTGTGGCTGAATTTTTAAAATAGGATATTCTGAAAATTAAAGTTCAATGCAGAATTTGATTTATAGTCATCAGTACTTTAGGGAGTTCATTTTTCTTGATCATTTATGTTGGACTATGGCTCTGTGGTTCTCAACTGGGTGTGGGATCTGAAAGGAGGTGGCGATTTTCTTCCAGTGGAACATCTGGCAGTGAGTATCTGGACACATTTCTGGTTGTTACAACAGGATGGGAGTGGGGCACTGGCAGCGAGTGTGTAGAGGTCAGGGATGCTGCTAGATACCCTCTAATGCTTTCGGATGGCCTCCAACAACAAAGAATAATCTGGCCCAAAATGTCAATAGCGCTGAGGCTGAGACATGCTGGTGCTGTGGATGATTTCATCTCCTGTAAAAGATACTGTGAATTGACTTCTTACTTCAGTAGTCTTTGACACCCATCTCAAATGTAAAGATGGTCTCTCAGAAATAGTATAGATATCCATTTGAAGCTTTAAAAAGTTGAGCTTCTCATGATCAACTTTTCTGGTATATAAAACAAACTACAGCCATGTTTTAAATGAAAATCAAGGCCAAAACAAGATTGAATGATGTTATAGAATACAATCTACATCCCTGGACTGACATGAGTAAATAATGACTTTCCATAGAGCACAGTTGAAGAGAGACATGAGAAGAGCTAAAATACTTGTGTTCATCCATGTATTTTTGTACACTGGCACTCTACCAGGTAATTAATGTAAGCTTGGTAAAGTCAACCCTATATGTTAATATCTGTTCTTGAGAATAGAAACAATGCAAGGTCTTTATGTATTTTTTTATCTTTATTGTTGAAAGTTACACAGATGTCCCCTTTTTTCCCCTTTGATTCCTTCTAGCCTGCCCCCACACTGTCGCCCCAGACCTTCACCACCCTATTGTCTGTGTCCATGGGTTATGCATAGCTGCATATAAGTTCTTTGGTTGATCTCTTCCCACCCACCCCCACCTTCCCTCTGAGATTCAACAGTCTGTTCCATGCTTCTATGTCTGGATCTATTTTGTTCATCAGTTTATTTTGTTCTTTAGATTCTACATATGAGTTAGATCACATGATACTTGTTTTTTTCTGACTGGTTTATTTTGCTTAGCATGATACTCTTCAGGTCCCTCCATGCTGTATCAGAGGGTATGAGATACTTATTTTGACACTGAAGTGATGTACTCTGTTTTGTAATTCAAGACCGTATTCTCATGCACCAGCCTTTTAATAAAGTATAGGGAAATAGTTCTTATATAGGTAGCCATTCTAATTTGACTGAGTGCTAGGAGAAACTCCTGTATTTTTTGCATAAAGCATTTATTACATAAGGTTTATTTCATCTGCTCTTATAATTTTACTAGAGGCCTGATGCACGAAATTCATGCATGGGTAGAGTCCCTAGGCCTGGCCAGCGATCAGAGCCAATCTGGGGCAACTGGTGCAGTGATCAGGGGCCCCTGCTGGCACCTGCCTTGGCTGGCCTGGGGCCTGTAGGCTGGGGCAGCTCCTGCATTGAGCATCTGCCCCCTGGTGGTCAGTGCATGTCATAGCGACTGGTCGTTCCACTGGTCATTCTGCTGTTCGGTCGATTTGCATATTAGACTTTTATTATATAGGATTTTGGCTTATCTTTTCTAATTGGTTGCAGAAATTGAGAAAACTTAATACAGCCAAGAATGAAAGAGGAGACCTAGATTGGCCTCACCTAACTTTCCTAGGTGTGGAAAATTAAAAAGAAATCAAGCTGATGCATGTTGAACAGTTAGGCTTACAACTGACCAACTAGGGAAGATTCATATAATCTTTGGGTACTTCACCCAGAACCTAGGGATCTTCAGCATCCATTTTATTATAATTCTTATAATCAAGGATAGCTCACATTTTTCAGAGAGAGGTACCACCTTTACAAACGCTTGAAATGGGGAATTATCTTGCTGGGGGTCATTGTTATGGATGAAATGATTACGGTAAGTGGTCTAATGCTTCCAGTATGACACTTCTACTTGGAGAGCCATCCAAGGTGGGCCTGTTATAAATACTGCCTTAGAGTAAGTGGTCTTTTGTAACTGGTCATGGTTTAGAATTGGACTTTATCTCCCATGAACCTCAGAATGAATTAAAAACGAAGTATTCTAGGAGCTAGTGCTTCCCACCAAGAACATAGGATGTATTTGTACTTCTTTGTATGAACTTTAAAAAAACTTGCCTTGTTCCCCAGGGGATCTGAGAAGTTTGTTTTCTTTCCAATCCTGCCTTCCAACATAATATAGCAAAAATTGGGATTTAGGGATAAAAATGGTTTGCATGTGAATCCTGTTTGTTAGATAGTACTGAGGAATGCAGGTCTAGAATTAACGGCTGTTTCTGGTTGGAAGGAAGTTTATTTAACCTTGCTGTGAACGTCAGAACATGAAGTTGCCAAATCACAGTTAGCTTAGAACCTACAAACGGAGTTCTCCGTGACAGGACACTGAGGGCCAGAAGGTTTAAAATAGATGTCATATGATACCAATTACAACTCAGTGAAATTTTGCAGTCCCGAGAACCTGTGCAGAGTGTAAGCCAAAATGGAAGATGGTTCTCTTTTCTATGGCTTTAAAAACATTTTTATTACCATGTTTGCTACTTTTCTTTTCTTCAAGCTTTTAATTAAAGTTTTTTTGGCTCTCCTAACCCATTTCTATGTCGTCAAAGGAAATAGAAAAGAAGCAGCTAGGATAGCTGAAGAGATCTATGGTGGAATATCAGGTAAAAAACTACAGCGTTTGTTAAAGAGCTGATGCATGGGAATACAGTCTTGAGTCGCAGTACACATTTTTAAAAAAACCTCCCAGATAACTCATATACATATTTCTAGAAGGCAGACTTTATTTATACTTTGGCTTTGAGTGGGTCATTTAAAAAATATATATATTAGTATATATTATTTAAAGTTGCAAATGGTGTTGACTACACCAGTGGTGAAGGATTTTCAGCTTTAGTTTTTGCAAGTTAGTTCTTCAATTAAGAGTTACTACTTAAGAAATAATTAAAGTAGTGGCTTTCTAAAAGTATTTTGAGAAAACTTATTTCTACTAACCTAAAGAGTTACTTATCTAGGATTATTGTCTTTAATATTTTTAATCAAATTTTAACAATGCATTTTAACAAACCTGAGTTTCCTCAGGACCAAGAAATTTGATTTAAAGCAGCAAATGTGGCAAGCTGTATTTATTTTGGTGCTGTCATTTGCAATCCGAATTGATTAGCCACTTGTCACTGTAAGGAAAAACCTTTTACTTAAACCCATTTATACTCAGTACCATGCAAAGCACTACAAACAAAGGTTATTATATGAAATGCCAACATCCAAGTAAAACATTTTGAAGTCTCCTGCTTTGTAGAACTTAGTGTAATGATCCACTTAATTGTAGTGAGATGCTACAAAAGGAAATGAATCAGACATCCTCGTCACTGCCAGGATCCTCACTTAATAGAATAGTATTTATTCATAAACAGTATGGAATTTCCCTATGTGTTTTTAGTGTTCGTAGGGTTCCAGGATTACATCAGTCTTTATCTAGTATCCATTTCTATTTGCATCTAGGGTTCTCGTTCAAAATAGACCGACACTTTGTGATTAGAATACACTAGATGACTTTGAAGACATTAGATAACAGCAGTCTTATCCAAGGAAATAAGACCTCCAAAGACGAAGCATCAGAATGCTTCAATTAACTGGGGAAAATGAGAAGAATGTTGACGTTTCAGGAAGTGTCAGAAGGCCCGGAGTGTGGAAAGAGGTTTCTTTTGGGGATTACATTTGTCACACATTTCAGGGAGGTATGTTACTTAAACTCCCTTTAGTTTCAAGCTTAGCATGATCTGAAAAAGCTATTTTTGTAATTTAATTTATTTGTAAATCTGGGCAGGGGCTGTTTAGACGTTTCAGTAACAGTTTTGATGTTCTCATAGATACATCATCCTCATGGTTTAAATTAGTTAAAGTCCAACAAAGTCATTGTTGATAAGAGCGCTAAAATGTTTTCTGTTGCTTGTGTGCATTATTTTTGTCCTTGTGACCCTTAATTGAATACACTCTTAGAAGGGTTTTATAATAGAATCTATATAAGTATGGTTTAAGTCTGGGGCCACAAAATAAACCTCTTCAATTGATCTCATTTATTCTTTAGCTGAAATATATTTGTTCAAGGTCCTAGGATTATATTCATTTAATTTGTAAGTAGCATAGTGTTTAAAACTGTATTTTTCAGTTATCATTAACCAGAGACAGCAGAGAGGAGAGTGCATGTTTATTTATCAGTTTAATTTCCTTCATATGTATCTATATCTATATATCTATATCTATATCTATATCTATATCTATATCTATATCTATATCTATATCCCTATAAAGTCTGAGGGAGGTTATATATATGTGTGTGTGTGTTCGTGCGTGCACATGCCCGCGCGCAAGTGTGTGCACTGTGCACGCATACGGGCACTTATGAACATAGTAGAGAGTATACCCATATTTGGTAAAATAAGGCTTTCTATAATAATACAGGTAGTAACATGCTAGAAACAGTGGTTTTTGCAAAAGTCTAACAGTGTGTTTTCTGTTGACATTGTTAACAGTCAGATGCTTGACACTTAAAAATCAAGAACAAAATTTTGTGTTAGGGTTCAACTCGAACCTGAAATTGCCTTTGCTGTTCATTGGTCTAATGTTTGTTGGGAAAATATGTAACATTTAATTAGTAAGTTAGCTAATTAAATTAGCAAAGTCTGAGGAAGGGTACATGTTTTTATTTCAATCACGTATTATGTTCCTGTACATTATCATAATTGCTGTCAAAAACAAGGGAGGGCAGGAAAAAACTCAGCCAGGACACAGTTGAACCTGTCGTAGGTGCTGGCATTCTTTCTTTTGGAAACAGCACCATGCATCAGCTCTCTTATTAAATATATTTTTTTTCCTTTGTAAAATCTTTTGGGAAAAATTATTTTTATTTCTTATTCTGGAATACATCATTCAATGTCTTTATGGTTTAAGTTATTACATTTGTATATAACTCGTCAGGATTGAATTAAGCTATGGTTGCTTATTTTACTTTGCTCTTGTCAGGCTGCTTTGTGTAGTTTGTCATATATATATTTTGAAACATTGTCATTGGCCCTTGACATTACATCGAGAGCACCAGACAGGTCACTGGATCCCACCTTCAGCCCATAGATTTTCCTCAGGTACTGTCTTTCTCCGAAGAGATGTGGCGCATGATTTTTCAACATTTGCTAATTTGGCCAGAATTGGAGCTGTATTTAAGTCCAGCAACTTGGTCATCAAAGTTGATAAAAATAAAGTATAGATACAGGTTGATAATGTGTTTTCACAACCCTTGGGCCAGATAGGATTCAGGAGTTTGGGGGGGATACTAGAAAGATTACATAGAGTGTATAGTGTATATTACATAGCACTCCCAGCAGGGCCTGGAGATGCCTCCCATAGTCAAACATTTTGATATTTCTATAGTGAACATATAAATATTCACACCAAGTAAAAATATAAAAATAAGTTGCTTAACCTGAGTCTTGGCCATGTTCTGCTGCCAAAGGAGTTTGGGTCAACCTTGGGGAAACTTGCTTTTTAGAATTTGGGTGTTTTTTTTTTTTTTATAATGGTAGATCAGATATTATACAATTATTGTACTTTTTGTTTTTTCAAAGGGCTGTTTTGAGCTAAAATATTGATTATATTCTAAGTGTTAATCTTAAAATTAGTTGTCCTTGTTCTAAATTAAAAGGACTGACCTTGATTTGATGGCCATGCCTCGGCCAGACTCATCAATCTGACTCTTTTTTCTCATTTTTCCCATTTGGACAGGATTTTCCTGCATTTGGTACATTCTTACATTATCTTCTATCTAGCTTTCTATTCTTGTTTCCTCAGCCTTGGCTCAACCACCATTGAGTGATTACATATCACAGGTGCCTGCTGGCTTTCCCAAGTTGGGACAACCAGTCCTCAGTAGGGACTCTGCCTCCCCACCTGTCACCTAACTCAGCTTGCCTGTTCCTAATAGGTTCAAAGGAAACTTCTTTCTAACACACTACAAAAAGATGTTCATTGACTGTGGTTCACCTCCTGACCAGAGCTGAGTATTCTAAAGAGAGTGCATTTAAACTCAATTATATTATAATATCTTAGGTATCTCAGGAAATTTACTATATGGTTTTTTTATAATTACCTTTTAAAAAATATATTTTATTGATTTTTTACAGAGAGGGATAGAGAGCTAGAAACATCGATGAGAGAGAAACATTGATCAGCGGCCTCCTGCACACCCCCTACTGGGGATGTGCCCGCAACCAAGGTACATGCCCTTGACTGGAATTGAACCTGGGACCTTTCAGTCCATGGGCCGACTATCCACTGAGCCAAACCAGTTAGGGCTATAATTACTTTTGTGTTGCTTAAAATATCATTAATTTCACTAGGCCCTTGCCTATATTTTGGTTTAAAATTGAAATTCCTTTAGGATTTTCTTTCCTTTGATAAATGCTGCAGGAGAAGATATTACTTCATATGATTTTGGGACTTGACTAAAGGGAATAAAGATTGTTTCATGTGAACTAGATATTTTAACCAGATGGTTATATTTTTTTTAAAAAAATAACAAGCCAGCCCTAGCTGGTTTGGCTCAGTGGATAGAGTGGCCTGCAGACTGAAGGGTCCTGTGTTTGATTCTGGTCAAGGGCATGCACCTTGGTCGCAGGCTCGATCCAGGCTCCATTCGGGGCACATGCAGGAGGCAACCAATTGATGTGTCTCTCTTATATCTATGTTTCTCTGTCTCTCCCTCTCCTTTCCACTCTCTAGAAATCAATGGGAAAATATCCTTGGGTGAGGATTAACCTAAACACACACACACACACACACACACACACACACACACACAACCAGTAATCTCAAGTACTTGTTGGAATTTTTGCAAAAACTTTCAAATATAATAATTGATTTTTATCTTGAACACTTGAAATCAGGCAACTGTATTCCATCTGAACCCATTTTGTTATTGAAATCTATGGTTTTGAAATTTGTCATGAAATTGTTATTCGGAGTCTTGGAAGTAGAGATATAAATCATATTCTGAGAAAAAGTCAAAGGGGGGGAGTGAAAAAGTACTTGAACATTTTCCGTACGCCTCGTCAGGAACAAGTAAACATGTCTGTAGAGTAAACTATCCTCATAACATGCTTGCAGCCCTGTGATGCAGGCATTCTGCCAAATAAGTAAAAATAGACTGTCTTAGAAGAGAGTGACTGATTCCTACTTAAGCATTCATTTATTTGGAGAGCGTGGTTGCATATTTCCTGAAAGGAATGGAAAAACTCCCTAGCTGCCAAATAACTTTTATCCTTAATTTCTCACAATTAGCTCCAATTTGCAAAACAGGAATGATAAGAGTGAGAGACTGAGTATTGGGAATAAGAGTTAGAAAGCAAGAGAGCCCACCTTGGCAGAGTTTTCTGGAAAAGGGTTTTGTGAGAGAACTCTTCAAGATTTGAGCAAGTGCTGGAGAACAATGTGATTGGAAAGGTGACTTCCTTGAGAGTGGTTTTGTTTCCAGTTTGGAATCAAAAGTTATTTCTACATTTAAGATGATACGATTGGTTTAATTCACATTATCTATAGAAAGAAGGTGGGTATTAGCAAAGCACTCCAGACAAGTCAATCTATCATGAGGACAGGCAGAATTTAAAGACCAGTGGTTCTTAAAACCAGAATAGGGTATATTCTGAAATCTCAAACTGTGGATTTTAGTCGTATTTCTCCCACTTACTAGAAGTGAAATCTCTTCATGGGGGCCAAGGGAATTGTGCATTTGGGGGTGTCCCAGTTCATGACACAGGCTCTTCCCTCCTCTCTTGAAAGCCAAAGGATGCCAGCTCCAGGAGGGAGCCTGGTATTTTACTCTCAGAAGTTTGTTTAAATAACTCACTGAACTACCCCCTGTCCTACCCAACTGGGGGAATAGAGTTGGAAAGCAGTGGTGGATGAGAGAGAAACCCAGGAAAACCTGCTATTCTTTTTTTCTTGATGGCATGGGTGATGGCCCCACAGGCTTGCCACAACCTCAAAAGCACGGGGTGGGAGTAAGAGGCATCAGAGGATGCTGCATTGACAGTGGACTCTAGGAGAGGTGGTCAAATGCCAATACATAGGAAAGGAGCCTGGGGTTGAGACCTTCTGTTGAGGCCCAGTGAGAAGGACCAGCCTATTCTTTGTTAATTGGGAAGACATCTTCTCTGTCCCTCAGTTCTCCCTACTCCTAAGATGCCAGATGCACTGGCACCTAGAAGAATAAAGTACAGACATATTTGAGAACATGTTGATTTTCTACCTCCAGCTGCTGGGGCTGCAGAGAGGGCCATACCCTGCCTGGGAGTTGGCAGAGGAGCAGAGTGCAGCTGGTCATTTAAAAAGTGGTCATTTTAAAATCTCTGCATCGAAGTCAGATGTAAATACAGACAAGTGCACAAATCCTAAGTGAACAGTTGGACGAATTTTCACAAAACAGACACAATCAGCTATACCACCTCCCCAGAGCAAGAACTTGAATATTATCAGCATGGTCCGCACCAGGCCCTCTTCCACTCAGCCCCTGCCCCTCCTCAGGGTACTTTGCAATCCTGACACCCAAGGTGAGTTTGGCCCTTTTGTGTACTTTATAGAAAGGAATCACACTGCACATGCTCTTTTGTGCCTGGCTTTCTTCAGTCAATGTTAGGTTTGTGAGAACTCTCTAGGTTTTGTGCACAGAGCGGGTCTTATGGGACTGATGAGTAGCAAAGTCACTAGAAATAAGATGCAATGGTTTCTGCTTCCCAGGAATGGGGACGACACCACAGCCCATTTAAAGGCAAGTTTTACAAATAACAAAGCCATTTTATGTTGATATCCTAAGTTAATAATAGTGAGTTACCACTTAAATCTTATTTTTATTTTTGAATCAAATATTAGAGTACCTTTAGGTGACTGGTTGACTGGGTATTGTTAGAACAAAAGAATAACAAATGGCGGTGGGTTTGATTCTTTCATTGGTCAGGGTGCTGTGTTACCGTCCAGGGGTGAAAACTGTCCTCAAAACCCTAGTGCCGGTGTCCATTTCCAAGAGCAGTTAGGCTAGAGGGCAACTTGTAACATGTATGAAGTATGCTTCATATTGATGATATGGAGATATATTAGAAGAAAACCAAGACTGACCAATTGAGGATGCATACATTATCTCATTCTCAGTTTATGCAAATTATAAGTGTCCAAGAGATTTAAAAATACTCCACTCATTAACTTTTTTATTTTGTTGTTAATCCTCACCTAATTTTTTTCCATTAATTTTTAGAGATAGTGGTGAGAAGGAGGAAGGGAGAGAGAGAAACATCAATGCAAGAGAGACACATCAATTTGTTGACTCCCACATGTACCCCGACCAGGGTGGGGATCGAACCTGTAACCCAGGTAGTACCCTTGACCAGGAATCAAATCCAGGGCCCTTCAGTGCAGGCCGATGCTCTAACCACTGAGCACACAAGCCAGGGCCATTCATTACCTTTTAATTAACTCAGGAACAAGTGGAGATGCAAACAATTATATCTTTTTTTTCAAAGTAGATTTTAAATATGATTTTTTATTAATTGTTAGAGAGAGAGGAAGAGAAGAAGGGAGAGAGAGAAAAAACATTGACCAGCTGCCTCCTGCGTGCCTGGTCATGTGCCCTAACCAGGAATCGAACCCTGATCTCCTGGGTCGATGCTCAACCACTGAGCCACACCTGTTGGGCTGGTTTTTTTGGTTGTTGTTTTGTTTTGTTTTTGTGTTTTATAAAAGCATTACACATATGTGGAGTATGGAAACACTAGTGATTTTATTTATATATAACATACTATATACTCACACACACACACACACTTTTTTGTTTTGAAACTTATTTCAAAATGACAGAAAAGTTACGAGTGGTACAAAGATTTCCCACTTCACACAGAGACCCTATTAATGTTTTCCCAACTGTCCTAATGTCCCTGATAACAAAAAGCTCTAATCCAGGTACACATCTTGCCTTTTGAAGTTGCGTCTCATTAGCCTCCTTAAGTCTGGAACAGTCTGTCAGTTCCTCTTCGGACTGGTTACAGGCCAGTTATTTTGTAGAATGTCCCCCAGTTTGAGTTGGTTCACAGTGTTCCTATTAGATTCAGGTTATGCGTTTTTTAGCAGGAATATCACAGAGCCATGCTGTGTTCTTTCCACTGCATTCCTGCCATGGTACATGATGTCGCTCATTGTGTTCCATCAGATGGCACACGGCCAATTTGTTTCCATCATTTCTGACGTTAACTTCAATCCCCTAGGTAGGGTGCTTTCCACAATTTTGTTTTACTGTAAGATTACCTCTGTCCTTTTATAACTGGTAATTATTTTATGGGGAGATAATTTGAGGCAGATTCTATTATTTCTTCTACACTTACGAGTTGGAATTTTACTCTAAGAAAGAACTTTCTCTTCTTGCAATTTATATAATATATTCATATAATAAATTATATAATTGATATAATATTCATATAATAAGTTATATAATTGATATAATAAATTAATGAGGACTTATAGGTTCCTATTTTATTAATAGGAATTAAATTATTTAATCTCTTAGTATCACTTAGTTTCACTATTTATTTTGATGTTCATATCATTCCATATTTGGCTAGTGGAAGCCCCTTCAAGCCAGCTTCTGTGTCTTTTTGACATATCCCATCATTAATTGAGCACTTCCATACTTTCTGGAAAGGTATTTGAGGCCCATATTACATTTTTCCTGGTTCAGCCCTGGAATCAGCCATTTCTCCAAGGAGCCCTATAACACACATCTATAAACACACACATTTAATCACACACACACACACACACACACACACACACACACACACACACACAGTCACGTTTTCATACCAATTACTACAATTTCAATCCAACCCTGTAGAGTTCACTCTAGCTTTCCTTCTATTTATACCCTAAAGGGTTAAAGGAGATAAAAACTGAGCTTCAACCTAAGAAGAAAGCTTACTGAACTGTTTATAGCCCTGCTTCTCATCAATTGGAAAAGTTTACTTTGTCTCTGAGGCCTCAAAGTCACATTCATTCCATCTTTGGTGGGATTGTTTCTGCCAAGGTTGCAGGTATGGGGAAACCAGAATTCTTTTATTTTCTTTCTTTAATTATTTTTTTTCTTTATTGATTAAGGTATTACATATGTGTGCTTATCCCCTCATTGCCCTCCCGACACCATCAGGATCACCTAGGAAAGGTTGATAAGATGGACCCTTTGTGTTAAATCCAAATTTTTATTACCTGCTACTCAGTGTTTGAAGAGCAGAGTTATAATTTGAAGAATGCCCAAATTTTGCAAACCAGAATAGGTTTTCTTCTGCAATAGATGACTGATTGCCCTTTGGCATGTTTAATAGAGGGTTACATCTTAAATGCACATGTAAGCTGGTTAGTCTTGTTTGCTGATGAGCAATTACAAGAGAAATATGTTTCTAAGGCAATTCTGAAACTGTTCTCTAGAGCACTATGTTACCATATGTACTTATTAGTAAATTGTTTTGAGAATATACCATCATGGGTGTATATTATCGGCCTACTGAGAGACCAGAGCACTTGCTAAATATTAGACTACTATACCCTCATTTTATAGATCAGGAAATTGAGGCTCAAATAATTTTAGTAACTTGCCCATTTTGGCAGAGAAAGTGGTTAAGGTAGAACTTTAACCCAGGCAGTGTGGCTCCACTTGTCCCAAGCTTAGCCATTACAGTCAACTGCCCCCAACAAAGCTGTTTAGGGAAAAACTTACATCACCTGAAAAAAGGACATCCTGCATTATGATGATAGATATGCTTCATTCCAAAAATGAAACAGACAATTACCTAAGGAATTTAGAACAAGACCATTTCCCCTGACCCGCTAGAATCTCCTTCATGGTACATGATAAGCTGTTGAGTCTTTAGGGCAGAGGTAAGGGTGAGAGGCAGGGGAAAGATGAAACTGAGGAAGTGCATTGTCCAGCTCGGCCCTTCAATTTGCTTTATTTAAAACTATTGATTCAAGCACTAGACTACATCTATTGCTTGATAAAACTGCCCCCCCCAAAGCCAGAGAGAGTTTGTGCTCTCCCTCTGCACCCACCAACAAACTAATGGACTACACACTCAGTGGCTTGTCACCCTGAAAGTGACTGACAAGAGAGCCTGCTGCTTGCTACAAACTTTCCTCCTCTTTCCCCAAACCTTCTTTCACAGTGGGTGGGCAGCATGAATGAGCTGCAGGAAGAAGACTCCAGACCTTGACACTGAGTTTGATTTGTGTTTCAGACTGCTGGGCTGATCGATCCCCACTTCATGAAGCTGCAGCCCAGGGGCGCTTACTGGCCCTTAAAACATTAATTGCACAGGTAAGTAAACTGAAGACTGGATCCTTTGGGCTTATGCTATAAGCAAACATCCTTCTTTATCAGCTTTGTCTGTAGCAGGGGGTTTGCTTGCTGGGTCCCAGCACAGCCATTTCAGGGGTATGTATCCTCATACAGCTCACTTTTTGTTTCTCCTGCCTCTCTATTCTTGGGAAACTGGCTCATTTTCTGCCCAGTTCCATCCTTCCCCTTCTGGGCCTTCTTCTTATCTCATAGGAAGTTTCCCTGTGAAGCTGATGGGGGATGCCCTCAAATTTATGTTGCACTAACTCACCTTAAATTCTCCCATGTGCCTTAGTAGCAGCAGCCCTGAAGTTGCATTAGTCAGCTATTGCTGTGTACCAAATTACCTCAAAGCATAGAAGCTGAAAACAACAGACACTTAGATTTTCACAGTTTCTGTTGGCCAAGGAGCAGCTTAGCTGGGTGGTTCTGGCTGTGAGCCTTTCGCAGGCTGTGAAGTTTCATCCAGGGCTGCAGTTATCTCATAGCTCAACCAGGGAAGGATCTGTTTCCAACCTCACTCATGTGGTTGCTGGTCAGCTTCAATTCCTTGCCACGTGGGCCTCTCCATGGGATGCCTGCATGATGAGGTGGCAGCTGGCATCCCTTGGAGAGAGCACGAGAGTGTCTAAGAAGGAGGTCCAATGTGACATCTCATTACTTCTGCCATATTTTCTTCATTGGATGTGAGTCAGTAAATCCAGCCCACACTCAAGGGATAATGCAAGTGAGCCAGCACTAGAATCAGGGATCACTGGGATCCATCTTAGAGGCTGCCCACTCCAGCAAGACACCACTACTTCAAGAGCAAACATTAGAATAGATTGACAATCATGTAAATCTTCTCCTTTTGGAGGAATTATTAAAGTCTTAGTTATTAAGGCTACTTTATCTATGACTGTATCCCTTGAACAATGAATAGTGGCCTTGTAAATATTTGTGAAATGAGTGAAAGTGTGTACGCTCCATTTACTTTGTTTGTTTTAGCATCTGTGTGTGTACAGAGAAGGCCAGTCATTTAATCTTTTTTTCACATTCTAGCTAACACCAAACCTGGCTTCCTTACCATTTTAAATTTAAACAGCTGGGCACAGTGTTCTGTGTGTGTGTGTGTGTGTGTGTGTGTGTGTGTGTGTGTGTGTGTGTATGTGTGCACGTATATGCCTTTTTTGTTCTTTCCTTTATGAGTTGAGTTAGTTCTTAAGAAAGTAGAGGCAAAAAGCAAACTGCCTGTAATTATCAAATGGGCTTTATACTTCATCTTATCACTTGCTTATTTATTTTTAAGCACTTTATATTTGATTTGATTATTTTAATGTGTAATATATTCACATAGTACAAAATTAAAATGATATAAGAAAGGTCTACAGTAAAAAAAGTTTTTTATATCTACCTTCTTTCTCTCAGGCTCCCACTTTAATACTTTTATTAGTATTGTTAATAAACTTATTTTTGGATTTATTTATTTATTTGTTTATTTGTTTATTTATTTATTTATTTATTTATTTATTTATTTATTTATGTTAATCCTCACCTGAGGATATTTTTTCCATTGATTTTTTAAGAGAGAGAATGGAAGGGAGGGGTAGAGACACACACAGAGAGAAACATTGATGTGAGAGAAGCACATCAATTGGTTGTCTCCCACACATGCCCTGACTGGGACAGGGGATCAAGCCTGCAACCGAGGTATGTGCTCATGACTGGAATCAAACCCAAGACCCTTCAGTCCAAGGGCCCACACTCTAACTGCTGAGCCAAACTGGCTAGGGCTGGAATGATTTTTAAGAAGTATTGCAAAGATAGTACAGCGAGTTCCCAAATACCCTTCACTCAACTTTCCCTAGTGTTAACATCTTACATAACATCTTACATAGCCATGGTACTTTAGTCAAAAATAAGAAATCAACATTGATCTAATGCCATCAGCTAAACGCCAGACTATTTAGATTAACACCAGTTTTTCCCATTAGTGTATATTTTCTCTTCCAGGATCCAATCCAGGATCCCATGTTGCACTGAGCATGTCTTTATTTTTAACTATACTTCATAAGCATGTTGGTTTCTATAGTGTGCTTAAACATGTTGGGGAGCATTGTTCATAGAGAAGTTCAATTTTTCCTCAGTACACATCACTTCCTTGCTTTTACTCACTAGCCAAAGTGTATTACTCAATTTTATTTTACATTAAGATAGTGTGGTGTTCTGTAAAACATTCAACTAAGAATCAGGAGCTCCTCATATTCACGCCACTGTCACCGCCAGCTGGGGAGCCTCAAGTCTTGCTAATAATTTCAACTTTCTGCTTCTCCAATTTCTCATGCACGGTGAAGGTGATTGACTCTCAGTGTTCTTTCAGGCCTGCTCAGCATTACATTTCTATAATTGCAGGGATTTTGAGTTTGCACTGATCCGTTTGTTGTTTTTTCTAGCACATAGCTGCCACCTTGTGGACTAGTCTGTTTTTCTGTTCTTGAAAACATATAATATGGGAAAAGGAAAAGGGACTTTTAAAGTTGTATTTGATACTCAACTTGAAATCGATAGCACAGCTCTGGAGTAATGATATCATATTCAGGACATGAAAATGGGCAGGACTAAGGCGGCATAGAGAACCCCTAAGATGAAGGGATAGGCAATAGTGGAAAGGGACAGGCAGTACCATGGAGGTCTGTCAAGAGGTGGTGGGTACTTCGCTTGGGGTTTGGGTTCAGGGTCATGCACCAGGGTTGGGAAGCATTCAGCAGGTCAGTTACAAGGCAGGGGATCAAAAACAACTCAGCTGGGAAGGATCAGCCAAGGACCTAATTCTTTTCACATATAGAAAGTGGTAATCCTGGGGGGAAATGGTAAGGGCCAAGTTAAAATCAGGGCATGAAGTCAGAGTTGGGCAGCAGCGGGCTGATCCTGTCCTCTGTCACCTGGACTCCAAGATGAGGAGGGTGAGCACGGCAGTATGGAAGGGTTTGTGTGTTAGGCCTGGGCATAGCTGCTGGGACCTGGGTGAGGAGATGGGCTAGGACAAACCCTTGGCCCCCAACCCTGGCACTGAAGACTTCCGGACTCAGTGGAGTTGTGGCATATGAGTCCTGGAAGCACCACCAACTTTACTTTCTACTCTTAAGTAGGGGGTCATCTTTCTGTTCCCAATCTGATTACAGTACTCTAAGTGTATTTTCTCTTCCTTATCATTTCCTTAATAACATTTTCTTTTCTCTAGCTTACTTTATCGTAAGAATACAGGATACAATACATACAACATACAAAGTATGTGTTAATCAACTATGTTATCAGGCTTCCGGCCAATAATAGGCTATTAATAGTTAAGTTTTGGGGGAGTCAAGTTATAGACAGATTTTTGACTGCATGGGGTTGGGGTCCTTACTTGCTGCATTGTTTAAGGTTCAACTTCTCTCTCTCTCTCTCTCTCTCTCTCTCTCTCTCTCTCTCTCTCTCTCTCTCTCTCGCCTTCCTAGCTTGAAATTTTTTATGCTTCAAGTCTCAGTTAAATACTACTTCATATGCGAAGGTTTCTTTTACTCTCCAAGCCAGATTCAAGGATATACACTGTGCTCCCAATTGAAATATGAACATGCATCCTGTATAGCAATATATTTCTGCTTTCCCCTCGATTTCTGTTTCTCCACTAGGCTCTTGAGGGAGAGAGATCTGTGTCATAAACAGAATGCTGAATTAGCATTTGGTGAATAAATGAATTCAAGGCCCCCAATACCATATTTAGATTCCTTGGTCATGGCCTCTTCTCCTTTCTGTATTATCCCATAGGCCAATAAAAACATGTCCAACAACACTGCTTTCATTGCTATGGCTAATGCAACCTTTAACCCACTTCTCTCCAAATTTTAGGGTGTCAATGTGAACCTCGTGACAATTAACCGGGTCTCTTCCCTCCATGAGGCGTGCCTTGGAGGTCATGTTGCCTGTGCTAAAGCCTTATTGGAAAATGGTGCAAAGGTGCGTACCGCTCCCGCCTCGCAGGTCTGTCTACCTAAGTGCAGGCACTACTGTCTGAGACATGACTTTCCAGACTGCTTACCTGCTGTGGGTGTGCAGGTCTGTCCCCATCTTGATCTATATTTCTACATGATCAAGAAGACACCCTGCTTGATACTCTCTTCAGCCTCTATGTCCATGTGTGAACATTCAGATGAGGTAATTCACAGGAATCTCAAAATTGTTATGTTGCCTTTTAAAAAATCAACTTTAACTAAAGTAATTTGAAAACTGATCTTGGAAAATTTATTGTAAAACACTGGAAAGAACATATTTTAAAAGAACAACAAAGAAACCCACCTTTACTTCAAAACCCTAAACCAACAACTACTTTATGAGCAAAATTATTAAAGTGAATGAGCTTTTACTAAATAGTACAGTGAAAAAAACTACAAAATTAACATTATCTTATTTTTTAATTGTATAATTAAACAATATTTTTCTATTAGAGTTGACATTTAATATTATTTTATATTAGTTTCAGGTGTGCGCATAGTGGTTAGACATTTATATAATTTATGAAGTGTTCCCCCTTGTTATGCACAGTGCTAAGGTCCCGAAAACCTCATTGTATTGTTCTTGGATTCCCAAAGAAATAATCCAGAGGACTGGCTGTGAAAGACATGGGTTTATTAGGACTTACTTGCCACCAGTGGTTGAACCAATAAATTCCATCCGGCCTGCGGATGGGCTGCACAGAAGCAGGGGGTGGGGGTGAGGAGGTGGGGGCAGAGGGGCTATTGTTTCATCGCCACCCAGTACAGAAACCAGAGAAAAATAGGGCATGCAGGAGGAGGGGGGTGTTTTTACATGCAAGCTGTGGGAGATAAAAACTGCTAGTTGTTTTCTTGACTGAGGAGCTGGCTAGGTTCCCAAGGTCTTACAGTCTGCTTACTGATGGCCTTCACTTTGTTTCCCACAGAGTGGGAGGGAGAGTTGGAGCATGAGAAGGGGCCCATGTTCCCATTTACCATACACCCCTGATTTTATCTTATTTTTAAATTCATTTTTTTCAAGGAGTGATTCAGGTGCTGTATGTAATTAGATACCAGAATAGAATTATAAAACCGTTTGAAAATCTTAGTGACATTTAGTTGCCAAATACTGTTTTCCTGATCATTTTATTTTTAAACTAAGTCTTTGAATTCTTTGCTTCATGAGCTGTAATGTTTTAAGCACTTAACAAAGATTTTCTTTAGATTTTATATGGAAGTTGGGTTTCTGCATGTAGAACTGAATATCAGAGTTTTCTGTGGGCAAAGTGATTTTCCTGATGCCATAGTGGTTGTGTATTTCCATTAGGTAGCGTTTCCTTAAGGTACTCTTAGTCAACTCACGTGTAATGGCTAGGGCAAGGTTGGGGGCAGGCCATTTCCTTTCAAGTTGAATGACTGAAGTCACAGGCAGATTGTGGGTGGGAAATATCAGACAACATAGGAGTATTTGCTGGTACAATTCTGGGAAGTTCTTTGGGGGACAAAGAAAAGAGTAAGACATGGTCCCTTGCCTTTGGCAATATTATGAGAAAACAGCCAATAAATATTATTTAACATTTAAATCAGCATGACAGATGGAATAAGAGAAACTTGGTCCATCAGTAGAAAATTCCTCAAAATTATCAGTCCCATGGGTACCTCAAACTCAGTGCATCTGCAACTGTGCTTATCATATTCTTCCTTTGGGGACTGGTTCCTTCTCTTGGATTCTCAGCCTCAGAGACCAGATGAAACATATCCCTTGTTTCCCAAGCAACAAATTGGGAATCATCCTATTTATTCTATCTTCTCATCTAATTAATCACAACATCCTACTGGTTTTACTTCCTAAATATTTCTCACGTCTATGCTCTCATTTGTCCTGTTCCTATAGTGTATAAAAAAGATCACTTTTTGTGTTTGTCTTCTCTTGTAGATTCAACCTATTCAACAAGAGGCAATTTTCTTATCTTTGTTTCTAAAAACATTGGCACCTAATAGATGCTCAATAAATATTTGCTGACCTGAACTAAAAGAGAAACTTATAGGAAATCTAGTTAGAAGATTTCCTGGACTCAGGAAGAGGATAATACTTAGTGAAAACAAATCAAATCAATTCCATCAAATATTTATTAGAAAAAAATGTAAATAGGTTAGAAATCGCTAGAGTGTATAAATTAACACACATGTTTTCCTGTCCTTGCCTGTCTCTGCCATCTTAGCATCTCATCTTTAACTTACTAATTTAATGGGGTTATCCTGGCTCTGATGCAAAATACTTCTTGTTTCTGAAACAAGGAAATTTAGGATCCTGATTATTACAAGCATATATGCTTAGTTGTTGAGGCAATATGATTTGACATCAAGCCCTTATTGTCCTGCATTTCAATTATATCAGAGCTTCCCCACCAGAGTGCCTTGTTCCCTTGATATTCTTTCCAATCTATTGCTAATACTCAAAGATGTCTCCCAGCCATGCTCATTCCCAAGTGCCTCCCACATCCCTAGAAGGCCCCGGAGATGGTTATAAACACCATGTTAATGGCTATTTTCTTTGTGCCATTGGCTTCGTCATGATCTCTTTAGGAGTTGCTGTTGGCATATGTAATTTGTATGGATTATGGTAGTCCAGGAAGGAAATTTGTGGCAAGAAAGAAAAGTGTGGGGAGTTGCTGAGGATATTTTTTTTGCAATCACAGATTTTGAGACCTTAAACTAGTTGATTTCTCCAGTACTTTTGGTTTCTGCCACGTTTGTTCATGATTGAGAGGGAGGTCAGCTCAATATTAATGAAAAGTGGAAATAATTATTGTTGCAAATGTTTACTGAATGTTTTCCGGGCACCGGGCAATGTTCCAATTGTTTAACATAGAGTAGTTCAATCTGCCCAATAACCTCAGAAGGCACATTCTTTTATGATCCCCATTTTATATGTACGGAAACCTAGGCACAGAAAGTTAGTATCCCAACCAAGGTTTCTGAACAAATAAGAGAGGGAGGGAGGGAGGGAGGGAGGGAGAGAGAGAGAGAGAGAGAGAGAGAGAGAGAGAGAGAGCTGTGATTTGAACCAAACTAATGGTTCCGTAGGCCATGTTTTTAACCTCCATACAGGACTGCTCCTCAATGATTAGGAGGCTCCTAAGAATCTCTGGAATACCCACAAATGCATTTAAAGGCTTTGTCCTATTTTGCCCCATTTAGGATATTATTTATAGAGGTGAGAGTTGATAGGCTACTAGTGCCTAAATAACATAATACTGTAATGATGTAGAGTTCCTTCACTCATTCACCAGCACGGGAAGTTTCTCCAGGTAGATATATAGGAATGTAACTTGGAAATGGTGATAAAGAAATAGCAAATCCTCTGGATCTCTCTTTGCTCATCATTAGGTCAATGCAGTGACGGTTCATGGAGCCACACCCCTTTTCAGTGCTTGCTGCAGTGGCAGTGCTGCATGCGTCAACCTGCTGCTGGAGTTCGGAGCCAAGGCCCAGCTCGAAGTGCACCTGGCTTCCCCCATCCATGAGGCAGTAAAAAGAGGTAAATGAGACATCACATTACATGCAAAACATTGGTGGACTCGCTCCAGTCTGCATGAATCAGTGGTAAGGATCACCTAGATCTTTACCAGTATACTATGTGTAGCTTAGAAATTCTGCAGCAATTTCAATTGGCCTAAATCTTCATGAAATACCACTGGGGCATGAAGCAGCTCTTCTTATAATCTGGGAATGGCTTTATGTCTCAAATGTCCTATTTCCTGAGCACACTCTCTTGACAGACCTTTCTTGAGGCTCTTTACTGGTGTTTGGTGTTAACTGGTACAGTCAAGACTGCAGAGGTGACTTCCATGAGTCATACTGTGATTATGTCTCTGTCCTTACTAGAAAAGAATAGCTCATCCCCCAAGCCCTTAAAATATCAACCACTAACATAAAATAAATTATGAAAGTGTCTGAAAGCCAAGGCCGATAGTCTCTCTAATGGAAGATTAAATGTAATTGTCCACAAAAGGCAATACACTCTAGATGAGCTAATGACGTTAAGGTCCTTAATTACTGAAAAAAAAAAAGTTGCAAAATTAAAAAGCATGACTTTGAAATCCTCGAAGTTGACTCTAGAATCCTGTGTCCTCATTACTTTTGAAATGAGGGGAAAGAATAAAATTAAGGAATTTAAAAGTTATATGCATAGGTTAAACATGAACAAGATGCCATTGAAAGCCCAAGGTCATTTATCAAAGGCCACACTTACAGAGCAACATTTATGTTACCCAGTGGTGGAATTATTCTCTTACATTGAGATCAGAAATAAAATGGATACATGGAAGCGCGCAACAGATTGAGGAATCTCAGAGGGAAGGTGGGGGAGGAAAGAGATTAACCAAAGACTTTATATGCATATTGACATAGCCTATAAACACAGACAATAATGCCTTAAAGGCATGGGGAGTGGGTGGGAGTGGGGAGGAGGGGTCATGGAGGGAAAAGGGGAACATCTGTAATACTTTTAATAATAAAGATACATTTAAAAAATAAAAATATATATTAGTATAAAATGAAAAAAAATACAATGGAGAAATTAGAACACTGTAGAACAGTGACCTTTGCTGGTATAATTGGGGATGAAAGTCTTTCTTTCAAAAGGCAATAGTGAAATATTTGCCACAATTTATTAAACATGTCACTTGGTAATTGTTTTGGAGTAGATTACTTTAAATGATACAAAAGACCCAATGTCCATTGCAGGACTATTTACAATAGCCAAAATTTGGAAGTGTCCAAGTATCCATCAGTAGATGAATGGATTAGAAAACATTGATATATTTACACAATGAAATACTACTGTGCTGTAGAAAAGAAGGAAATATTACCCTTTGAGATAGCATGGATGGACATGGAGATCATTATGCTAAGTGAAATAGTCAGAGAAAGACAAGTGCCATATGATTTCACTCATGTGGAATTTAATGGACAAACTGAACTACCAAGCAAAATGGATACAGACTCATAGATAAAGAGCAGGCTAACAGCTGTCAGGGGTGGGCTGGGTGGGGGAGGTGGAGGGATTGAGCAAAAAAAAAATAGAGAGAGAAATCTCATAGACACGGACAACAATGTGGTGATGGCTGGGGGTAGGGGGATAGAGGGAGATTGCGAAGGGTATAAGGGAGAGTAAATGGTGATGGAGACTTGACTTGTGGTGGTGAGCACACAATACAATATATAGATGATGTGTTGTGGAATTGTGCACCTGAAACCTGTATAATTTTGTTAACCAATGTCACCCCAATAAATTCAATAAAAAGACCCAAATCTCAGTGTATCTATGGTTTTGATGTCCTATATATATTTAATAAACAGTTATTTATTAATAACTGGTGATGGCCCTTTCACAAACTTTAAGTTATTTAAGTTGTAGGGAAATAGTCTATTTTGGAAATGATATAAAAGTCTTTAAAATTTTTAAATATTGATTTGAAGTAAAAATTAATCTATTCTTTGCATTTCATCTAAATATTTAAAAATAGATTACTATTGGGAATGATTTGAATTACTTAAATAATTCTGCAGTGCTTAAATGGTTACATATGTTGTGCTTGGTATCTATGTCTCTACATATTTTTTCCTGTATGTTTGGGACCAATGTCCACAGAGTGGAACGATGAATAGCAAGTTCACTTTTAGATATTGTTACAGTAGTGATAACCATTTGACTTATGTACTTTATTCATTTTTTTAAAACGTCCTGAGATTACTTAAATTAACTCAAACGAGGCTCAGTTTCTTCTGCAAAAAAGAATAGAATTATTCAACGATGTTTATTAGATATCCTGTATTTACCAGCCAGGTTTAGGTACTGATTAGATATTATTTCTAGATTCTTAACAGCTTTAAACCTCTATGAACAAGCTTGGTCAGTCTGGGACAATGCTTTGATATATTGATGTTATCATCCAGGCATAATATTTACTTATGTGAACAAGTAAATAGTTTGAATCCACAGAATCCTTATCTGTACATTTTTAATGCATATTTACACATAACTCAGAATTTGTGATAAATCAAGCAGGTTTGAGGTGAAACTTAATTTTATGTTATTTGTAAAGAAAATCTTGGTTAAGTTAATCAGCAATGATAAAATTTTTAAAAATGAAACATTTAAATTTTCAAAGAGAAAAAACATTTGCTCCTGAAAAAATCATTCATATGCTGCAGATTAACCATGTTTATCAGTTCAGTGGGAAAACTCTCTTAGGAGAGTACTTGTACAAAGTTCTTGAATTTGGAAGTACATTTAAATTAATTCTCATAGGTATCTTCCAGGTTAACCAAAATAAGGAGCTTTTACTACATGGTGCAATCATACCCAACCTTGCATGCATGGATGAAGAAGTGAATGAGAGATTTGTAATGGAGAGGGATCAGGGCTTGGACTTGGATTTGAGCCCTGTCTTTTCAGAGTAATACTAAGATGAGTCATTTACCCCTCTGGGTCTTGTAGCCTCTATTTGTAAACTGCTGTCTTAATTCCAGAGGATTTCAGCTCTGCTCCTTGGAGCCCCTAGTTTAGTTGGAGCTACCTCAAAGGCTGCAAAGAGGAATTACATGGGGGGAAAAATAGGCATGCTTCTCTTTCTAATAGTTTAGTTTTGGAGGTTTCTAAGATCTTCAAAATTTTTTTTCCTGCTTAAAACATCTATTATTTCTAAAGCCCATTCCTGATAAGCAATCCTTTAATTCTGTGGATAGTCAATATATGTTGTTGTTTTTTTTTACTCGTGTGAGGTTTATCTTATGTTCCACCAGGTCATAGAGAGTGCATGGAGATTCTGCTGGCAAATAACGTGAATATTGATCAGGAAGTGCCTCAGCTTGGAACTCCCCTGTATGTGGCCTGCACCCACCAAAGGGTAGATTGTGTGAAGAAACTTCTAGAATTAGGTAACTTCCAGAAATCTTGTCATGAAAAGAACCTATTAACCATGGACTTCCAAGACAAAGTTCTTGTCAGACTGGACAAAATCTGGCAGCATTTGATGTTTGAATGCTTAAAACAGAACTCCAGAGAATGAGTATCTGTGTTTTTTAATTCTGCTTCCTCTGATATTCGTTCTGTTTAATTGGTATGGGTCTCCTTGGTGGTCTCAAGAGAGTATAAGAGTCTTTCCCATTTAAGTCCCAGGGGAAAAAGCAATTGTATTTCATTGGCTCTTTTTGAATCACATACCCCTGTCTGAACCAATTATGGTGGCCAAGGGAATACAATACAACACTGATTGGCTTATCCCTAGATTTCAGTCTACACTGCAGTTGCTGGGCTTCATTTGCAACATATGAACTAGGAATCATGAGGATGGTTCCCCAGGGGAAATCTAAGTGTGGTTACCATGAAGATTCTGGATAGTAAAAACAACAGACATTTGCCATAGACTACTTACGATCAATCCTGCTTATTTAGTCATTTGTAAAAAATATGTTTTTATTGATTTTTTTAGAGAGAAGAAGGGAGAGGGAGAGAGAGAGAAATATTGATTGAGAGAGAAACATCAATCAGTTGCCTCCTGCATGCACCCTGATCTGGGATCAAACCTGCAACCTGGGCATGTGCTCTGACCAGGAATCAAACTGGTGACCTTTCTGTGCATGCGATGGTGCTTAACCAACTGAGCCACACCATCCCAGGCTAGTAATGATTTTTTAATTCTCACCTGAGAATATGTTTATTTATTTTAGAGGGAGACAGGAAGGGAGAAAGGGAGAAACATTGATAGATCAGTTGCCTTCCCTTTTCGCCCTGACTGGTGATCAAACCCCCAACCTTTTGGTGTACTGGACAATGCTCCAACCAACTGAGCCACCTGACTGAGGCAGTAATATTTTTAAATCTAAAGACATGTGCAGAGCCCAAACCGGTTTGGCTCAGTGGATAGAGCGTCGGCCTGCGGACTCAAGTATCCCAGGTTCGATTCCGGTCAAGGGCATGTACCTTGGCTGCAGGCACATCCCCAGTAGGGAGTGTACAGGAGGCAGCTGATTGCTGTTTCTCTCTCATCGATGTTTCTAATTCTCTATCCCTCTCCCTTCCTCTCTGTAAAAAATCAATAAAATATATTTAAAAAAATAAAAAAGGCATGTGCAGAAACTGAGAGTCTAGGGAAAAGTAAAATGTCTTGAAACTATTATTTGTTTACAGATTTCCCAAACTTGGCCATTGACACAAAGGTGGAAATTGTAGTAAGAGCCTTTAAATAAGAATTTTTCTCTCCAATATTTTTTGTGTTTTCTTTTTATCTGCCATCATATACTACTCCGTAGTTCCTAAATATTATTTGTGAACTCTGAATAATATAATTACTAAATAAACTTAGCTTTATTCTCTGCCAAAAAGAAAATAATTCTATGTAAAAGGAGTTTCAAATATTTAATTTTATATGTCACAAAGTTCATATGGAAGAGTAAGTAAAATATTTTAACTGAATAAAAATATTTTAATTCACTTTTCTCATCAAAATATTTTAAAATACATTTTTATTGATTTCAGAGAGGGAAAGAGAGATAGAGACATCAATGATGAGAAAGAATCATTGATTGGCTGCCTCCTGCACACCCCCTACTGGGAATCAAGCCTGCAACCTGGGAACTGGGAATTTAACCATGACCTCCATAGGTAGACACTCAACCATTGAGCTACGCTGGCTGGGCTCTTCAAATATTTTGAAACAGTCTTAATAGGCATTGCTGAGGTTCTAGGCTTACGGCACATTTTTAAATATTTGTCAAACTGTCATGGTATTTAAGATGTCTTTATGCAGCTACTATATTTTAGGCTCATTATGTTTCTACATTTAACATTTATTGTTAAATCATGGCCATCTGCTTTGTTAAGGAGCCAGTGTTGACCACGGCCAATGGCTGGACACCCCTCTCCATGCTGCAGCGAAGCAGTCCAGTGTGGAAGTCATTCACCTGCTGGTAGACTATGGGGCTAACCTGAAGTGCAGAAATGCTCAGGGAAAAAGTGCACTTGATCTGGCGGCCCCGAAAAGCAGAGTGGAGCAGGCGCTCCTGCTCTGGGAAGGTAAGGAATGGCTGTGTGTCCATTTCTCTTCCTTAAGTGCATCTGCTCTCTCTCCTTTCTATCTAGTCTCTAGGATTTCTTACCTTTTCCCTCTTCTCTTTTTGATTGGATGTGACATGTAGGAGGTGGAAAGTCCTAGCATCGCTGAGGTGGGATTTTATATGCTGTATATATTCACTTATAACAAAAGGGCATTTACATCTTTATTGACAGAGTCAGGTTACAAAGTAATGGGATGTTACAAATGCCCCTGTATAACTAGTATTCCAACGCAAAGCTCATTCATCCTACTCAACCATATTTTGGACTCTCATTAGTTTACTTGCCCTTAGGACTCATAGCTGCTCAATGTCAGAGGCATGATGACTCCATGAGACTCCATGAGACAAAGAATCAGGTTATAATGGGGTCTTAATGAGTTGGGTCCTTTATCCTGATCTCCTTGTGAAAATGGGGGGCCCTCCAACTGTGAGTCAGGACTCAGGCACCACCACCTTCTGGGAAGCTAGAGCCAGACAATACAGGAGGACCCTGAGTTCCAGGCATCCCGCATATCTCCTGATACAGCATCTGTGACCATATAGACTGGGTTTCCTCCTGACATCCACTTGGCTGTTTTCCCTTGCTCTGAAGTTCTGTCTCAGGGTCTTGCATGCCCAGTGCTTCTATTTGCATTTTCTCTTCAGCTCATATCCATTAGCACATGTGGTACATGAATAAAGCAAATTCCCTTTAGACCACATGCCTCATTTCTAACTTGCCTCTGGTCAGCCTCATTCTTTTTTTTTCTTTTATATTGTTCAAGTATTACATATGTCTCCTTTTCCCCCAATCGACCCCTCCCTGGCCACTCCCACCCCCCCCCCCCAGGACAAGCCCCCACTGCCCCAGTGTCCCTGTCCATCGGTTATGCTAATATGCATGCATACAAGTCCTTTGGTTGATCTCTTATCAACCAACCTCTGATGTTGGATGGTCTGTTCAGTGTTTCTTTGTTTCTGGACCTATTTTTGTTCATCAGTTTATGTTGTTCATTATATTCCACAAATGAGTGAGGTCATGTGATAGTTATCTTTCTCTGACTGGCTTATTTCACTTAGCATAATGTTCTCCAGGTCCATCCATTCTGTTGTAAATGGTAAACGTTCCTTCTTTTTTATAGCAGCGTAGTATTCCATTGTATAGACATTCCACCGTTTTTAATCCACTCATCTGCTGATGGGCACTTAGGCTGTTTCCAAATCTTAGCTATGGTAAATTGTACTGCTATGAACATAGAGGTGCATATATCCTTTCTGATTTATGTTTCTGATTTCTTGGGATATATTCCTAGAAGTGGGATTACTAGGTCAAATGGAAGTTTCATTTTTAACTTTTTGAGGAAAGTTCACACTGTTCTCCACAGTGGCTGCACCAGTCTGCATTCCCACCAGCAGTGCATGAGGGTTCCTTTTTCTCCATATCCTCACCAGCACTTGTCATTTCTTGATTTGTTGCTAATAGCCATTCTGAGATGGTACCTCGTTGTTGTTTTGATTTGCATCTCTCAGATGATTAGTGACTTTGAGCATGTTTTCATATGTCTCTTGGCCTTCTGTATGTCCTCTTTCGAAAAGTGTCTATTTAGGTCTGTTGCCCATTTTTTTGATTGGGTTGTTTATCTTCCTTTTGTTAAGTTGTACGAGCTTCCTGTAAATTTTGGAGATTAAACCCTCATAGGAGATAACGTTGGCAAGTATGTTCTTCCATGCAGTGGGCTTTCTTGTTGTTTTGTTGATGGTTCCTTTTGCTGTGCAGGGATCTTTTTTTTTTTTTTATTCCAGATGAATTTTTGGAGAGTTTTTTCTAGGTCTTTAAAATATGCCATTGGTGTTTTAATGGGGATTGCAATGAGTATATAAATTGCTTTGGGTAGTATGGACATTTTAATGATGTTGATTGTACCAATCCATGAACACGGTATATTCTTCCATTTGTTTATGTCTTTCTCTATCTCTTTTTTCAGTGTCCTATAGTTTTCTGAGTATAGGTCTTTTACCTCCTTAGTTAAGTTTATTCCTAAGTGTCTTAATTTTTTGTCATTGCAATGGTAAAAGGGATTTGATTTTTTTTTAAGTTTCTATTTCTGTGAGTTCACTATTGGTGTATACAAGAGCCATAGGTTTCTGGGTGTTAATTTTGTATCCTGCTACATTGCCAAATTCATTTATTAAGTCTAGTAGTTTTTTGATGGAGTCTTTAGGGTTTTCTATGTACAGTATCATGTCATCTGCGAATAATGACAATTTTACTTCTTCTTTTCCAATTCGGATGCCTTTCATTTCTTCTTCCTGTCTGATTGCTATGACTAGTACTTCCAGTACTGTGTCCAACAGGAATGGTGAAAGTGGGCATCCCTGTCTTGTTCCTGTTCTTATGGGAAATGGTTTTAGTTTTTGCCCATTGAGTATGATGTTGGCTGTAGGTTTGTCATATTAGTTAGCTTCGTTCTTAAATATCGGTAATATAATTACCATTGGAGGTTCAACTTAAAGAAACACGACCCTGTCTAAGGGATAAACCAGAATCCTGGGTGTATTGATTGTTTGCTAACTCACTTTCTAATTCCTATACAGATGCAGCTTCTCTTAATCTTCTAGAAAGTTTACGCCTCTTCTAGTCTTTACTCAACCCTGGCCATACTAGCACAAAGTTCACACCATTTTAATTCCTTCCTTAGGCCCACCTGCTCTTTCCCAGCTCTGTCGCCTGTGTATCCGAAAGTGCTTGGGTCGAGCGTGTCATCAAAGCATCCATAAGCTACATCTACCGGAGCCACTGCAAAGATTCCTCCTCTACCAGTAGTCCCAACTCTCCATGGAAGGTCTTGGAAATAATCAGGTAGTTGCCTGCTGTACGCAGGGTACTTAATGTAGATGCCCAACAGCTAACATCTCAGTATCATAAAATGAGCTAAGCCAGTTAGATTAAATCCCGGATGAATCAGAAACATGTAGGGAGTGGAAACTTGTGGTTAGTTTAATGTTCTCATTAACCAAGGGACAGTCAGAAACCTTTCATTTTTACCACTTGTTGTATAAACTTTTAAAAAACTATGAAGTAGAGTGAAAATAATAAGCTATTTTTGAAGTCTCATTATCTTCAATTATCTAAGGGTCAACATTCTGAGTATCATGTAGATACATGTAAATCAGGTTGAATAAGATTATGATGAATGTGAATATTATAAAATGTGATTTAATTCCTCCCTCTTTCCCCCTTTCTTTCCTTCTATGAATAAATCTCTGCTATTATTTTGATTTTCTTGCCTTTTTAAATTTATTGGGGTGACATTGGTTAATAAAATTACATAGTTTTCAAGTGTATAATTCTAGGATACATTATCTGTATATGCATTGTGTACCCACCACTCAAAAATCAAATCTTTTTCTATCACCCTATATTTGACCCCCTTTACCCTTTATGACCACCCACCCTCTTCCCTCTGGTAATCACCATACTGTTGTCTGTGTCTATGAGTTTTTGTATAGTGGTTAGCATAGCTGCCTTCCTTGCCTTTTTTTACAGATAAAAAAGAGAAATACTTTTAAAACACCACAATTAATTGAGGCTTGCAGTTTTGGAGCTCCTGGTTGGTAAGAGAGTTGTTGGAAGATATTAGCTCACCTGGAAGTTGGGGGTCTGTTTCCCATCACTTTTTATATTAGATGCTGTTATGTGAGGTAGACAGTTCTAGGATCCAGCAACACTGAGTGTTCTTACTACCCGAACCCACGGGCACAGTTTGATGCATGTTTCAACCCAAGCTTCCATCAACATATTTTCAAAACCAAGAGTACCAGGGTGTTTGAAATAATTACAGGTTGATGCCAGTCACCAAAATAGACTCATTTGTGGGTCAATATTATTTCTTTAAGTAGGGGCCCAAAATAAACAAAAAGGTATACTCAGAAACAGCTTTCCTCTTCCCTTTTCTCTTCTTCTCCCTCTCCTTTTTCTTCTTCCCAACCTCTTCCTGTCATCTCTTTTGTGAATTTAAAACATGAAAATTGCACAGACTTTAATTATTGTAAGTACTCCTATTATGGTTCAGTGACTATAGTAATATTAGCTTCTAAACAGAAAATTTTCTCTTGGACGATCCTAAGGTTTTTCCCAAACGTGTTTTTTTCCTAGTTTTTCTAGACCATTGATTCTCAACTGAGGACAATTTGCCCTACTTTTACCCAGCCTCAGGGACAATTGGCAAAGTCTAGAGACATTTTTGGTTGTAACATCTGGGGGAGGGATGCTCCTGACATCTAGTGGATAGAGGTTGGAGATGCAGCTGATCATCCTATAAGGCACAGGACAGCTCTCCACAGCAGAGAATTATTAGGTCCAAAATGTTAGCAGTGCTGAGGTTGAGAAGCACTGCTCTACACTCATGCTATTCAGTACAGAAGCCATTAGCCATTACCCTCTCAAGCAGTTGAAATGTAGTGAGGCTGAATTGAGAAGTGCTGTGAGTATAAATTACACACCATGTTTTGAAGATTCAGTAGAAATAAAAAGAATGTGAAATATTTTATTATGATTTTGATCTTGATTACACATATATTCAAAATGATAGCTTAAATAAAATTCATCATTAAAATTATTTCCACTTCTTTTTACTTTTTAAATGTGACTACAATAAAAATTTAAATTACACATGTCATTAGCATCATATTTCTGTTAGTACTGTTCTAGACCATTTTTTCTCATTTTGATGACTTTGGAATGTGAAATAAGTTAATCTTGATTAGTTAACTATTTGGGGAAAATATTAAATTCTTATTTTACATCATATTTCAAAAACAAATCTCGTTTTCTAAATGTTAAAAAATTGAAAATGAATCTATAAAATACTAGAATAAAATGTCCATAAATATGCATGAAAGGGAAGGTCTTTTCTAAGCATAATATCAAAGGGAGAAACTTTAAAGGAAAATACTGATAAATTAAAATACATATCAGCCCCAGTCACTGAGATGCCTGTCAAGGACTCAGCACCTTGAGCTCCCTCACTTTCTGATGCTCTGTCCCAGACACCTGCCTTCTTCCTCAGCAGCCTTCCGAAGCTGAAGGCCAGCCATTTACACAAAGGAACAGGAATCCTATTGTATGTCCACTATCCACAACCTCCACTCTTTTGATCCCTTTGATGATGCAAGTAAGGGTGATGATCTGCTTCCTGCTGGCACTGAGGGTTGATTATGTCTATACTAGAGGCCCGGTGCATGAAATTTGTGCACGGGTAGGGTCCCTAGGCCTGGCTGGCAATCAGGGCCAATCTGTGGGGCAACTGGCGGAGCGATCGGGGGTTGGGGGGAGCCTCCGCTAGCACCCACCTTGGCTGGCCTGGCACTGCCTGCTTGCCAGCCCTGCAGCCACCGCCGGTCGCCTCCCTCTGTGGTAGGTGACCCGCAGGGCAAACGGGGGGTGGCACTGGCCTGCTCGCTGGCCCTGCCCCCCAATTGCTCTGCCACTGTGATCAGGGGCCCCCACTGGCATCCGCCTTGGCTGGCCTGGAGCCTGGGGGCAGCTCCTGCATTGAGCGTCTGCCCCCTGGTGGTCAGTGCACATCATAGCAACCGGTCATTCCACCAGTCATTCCACTGTTCAGTTGATTTGCATATCAGGCATTTATTATATAGGATAAGAATTCAACAGAGGAGCAGCAGGGAGACCCTTACTACTGTCCAAGGGATTGCTGCTGCTGATGATGATAAAAAGAAACTAGTGATGGCTTCTAGGAAGAAATTTGCCTGCAATGGTATTGTATTTGAACATCTAGAATATATGGGGAAATAACTCAGCTACAGGGTGACCACCAGAAGAACAAATTCTGGTTCCTCATAGAGACTGAACTGGCTAAGGATAACCAGCTGAAGGTTCACGGGTTTTAAGTGCTTTTGGATCACTGAAGCTAAAGTGAGGATTTTCTTGCAATGAGTAGAAGTTCCTTTCTGTCCATTGTCACAAGTTTAAAAATTTCACAGCTTGTAGAATGTGAGCATTTGGGGTCTGCTTTTAACTTGGGCTAGTGTAACTCCTTCATGCAATAAACTGAGAAGTGCCAAAAAATAAATAAAATACATATCATGGAACATTCAGGAATTAGAGGCTTTGTACCTTTAAAGTGTTATCCTGAGGGCATTTTTTTAGTCAACCTGTTTCTTGCTGAATGTCTGAGCTCTGTGTTAAGTCTCAGGGTGTCCTAGGATATTCAGTCTATCTGTGACCCCAAGGAACTACAGAATCCTTCCGTTCCATTCACTTCCTGAATCAGCAGACCATGGATCTCACGAATCATGTGTATGGACCTCCCAACTCTGGTAGGTGTGTGTGTCTGTATGTATGAATGTGTGTCTGTGTGTGTGGAGTGGGACACTCCAATCCGGAACTGAGTCTCAAGAGACCACTTTCCAGAGCTGCTCCTCTGGTTCCAGAAATATGTGGAAGCAGAACAGGCCCCAGTGCCTACTTCTCAGAGTGCTGCGGTCAGTGTTTTATGATTTATGAATTTAGAGATTGGTCAGGAGGCAGTCTTTAATTTCACTTTAAAACCTACATCCATCAAGCTAGAATTAGACCATCAGAGGAATCATCTGGTTTATGTGAGGTTATATTGCTTTCTTTGAGGGGGGGCGGTTCTTAACACAATAGAAATTATTTCATTTTTCACAGGATGTGATATGTTTTATTCCACAAATGGTGTACTTTTTTTTTTCAATTTCAATCTTATTTGAAGTGCTATAGGCTAACTTCTCAAGTCATTCAACACATTTTTACTCAGCATCTAGTATATGCCAGACACTCTTTGAGGCTGTGAAAAGTATATGTGTTAGTAGAGGCAACAGGAAATAAGCAACATGTACATATATATCATCATTTCAGAACTGATAAGAAAAATAAAGCAGATTAGGGTAAAGAGTAATAGAGCTACTATTTTTAGGTAAGGTAATTAAGCAAAGACTGGTGGGGTGACTTCATTTAAAAAGAACTATTCATGTACATATCTAATATTTATTAATTTTTACTATTAAACTTTTAGTGACTTTTTTTCAGTACATCGTGGTACTGTTTTATTGTTTCTTTGCCTGATTTAATATAGCAATCCTATTCTGAAAGTATTTTTGATTTCTGGTTTTCCAATAAACCATATTGCAATGATTTTCTAAGTTTCAAATCCTTTGAACTATCCTTTTAAATGGTTGTATCGTTTCCTTAGCTATTTCCATATTGCTGGATACTTATTTCTAATTTCTTGCTATTATAAATGACACTAGCTTGAACTTTGTATTTTTTTAAGAAATGTTTTTAAATGTTTTAAGTATTGTAACTGAAAACGTGAGTTCAGCTGACCACAATGAGAGCCAAACTCATGAGACAGATGCTCGTGCAAAAAACTGTGGACCCCTGTCTCAGAGACCATTTCCCCTTCCTGCTCAAGGCTGCTATTCTTATAAGTGTAGGAAAAGGAGGTTGTTTTTTTTTTCTCTATCCAATCATATTTCTAGCTTTTGGCGAGCTGGAGCCCTGGCCATTCATCTTTCTAGGTTTTGACTTGCTGGGTGTAAGAACCGCCCTTGCACCATCTTGGCCAGTTGAGGAGGCTTCCGAGGATCTCTCCTGGTCTAGAGCAGCCTAGGGGGATTGCTAGGGCCCTGTACAATCATATTTCTAGCTTTCTATGCGCTTGGTGTAAGAGCTGCCCCCTGTGGCATCTTGATCAGTTGAGGAGACTCCCGGAGGCTCCCTGCGGTCTACAGCAGGAGGGGGTGGGGGTGGGGTGGGGGGGAAGGGGTGCTGCTGGGTCCTGTCCAGTCACCTTTCTAGCTTTGGGCGGGCTGAGTCCCTGTCCAATCATTTTTTTTTTTGGGGGGGGGGGGACGTGCTGGGTGCAAGAACCGCCCCCTGCACCATTTTTGATTAGTTGAGACTCCCGGAGGCTCCCTGTGGTCTACAGCAGGCGGGGGTGGGGGTGGGGGGGGAAGGGGTGCTGCTGGGTCCTGTCCAGTCACCTTTCTAGCTTTGGGCGGGCTGAGTCCCTGTCCAATCATTTTATTTGGGGGGGGGGGCGTGCTGGGTGTAAGAGCTGCCCCCTGCGCCATCTTGATCAGTTGAGACTCCCGGAGGCTCCCTGTGGTCTACAGCAGGCGGGGGTGGGGGGTGGGGGGGAAGGGGCGCTGCTGGGTCCTGTCCAGTCACCTTTCTAGCTTTGGGCGGGCTGAGTCCCTGTCCAATCATTTTATTTAGGGGGGGGGCGTGCTGGGTGTAAGAGCTGCCCCCTGCGCCATCTTGATCAGTTGAGACTCCCGGAGGCTCCCTGTGGTCTACAGCATCGGGGGGTGGGGGGGTGGGGGGGAAGGGGCACTGCTGGGTTCTGTCCAGTCACCTTTCTAGCTTTTGGCGGGCTGGGGCCCTGTCCAATTATCTTCTAACTTGATGCCTGGGTGCAAGAACCACCCTCTGCGCCATCTTGGCCAGTTGAGGAGACTCCCATAGGCTCCCTGCCGGTCTAGGGTGGGCCCTGTCCAATCATCTTTCTAGCTTTTGGCGGGCTGGGGTGCTGTCCAATCATCTTCTAACTTGGTGCACTGGGTTCAAGAGCCTCCCTCTGCACCGTCTTTGTTAGTAGGGGAGACCGAGGCCGCAGGACCCCCGCCGGGAAGCCTGCAGTTGCTGCTGTCCTCAGCTCATCTGCCGACGCTGGACACGGTGCCTGCACGTCTGAGGGAGCTAGTGGGAGTCCAGAGGACACCTCTGGAGGTTCCGGTGAGCCCAAGTCCTCTGCACAGCCCGCACGCGGACGAAGCAGCCAGGTAGGCCTGCGCTCTAACGGCTGCCCGCGGTAATACTATTTCTTAGACAGTGTTTAAAGTGGTATTTATTGATTAAGATGACTATTTAAAATAATCATTCGCCCTAGCCGGTTTGGCTCACTGGATAGAGCATCGGCCTGGGGACTGAAGAGTCCCAGGTTCGATTCCGGTCAAGGGCATGTACCGTGGTTGCGGGCACATCCCTAGTAGGGGGTGTGCAGGAGGCAGCTGATCCATGTTTCTCTGTCATCGATGTTTCTGACTCTCTATCCCTCCCCCTACCTCTCTGTAAAAAAGCAATAAAATATATTTTTAAAAAATAAAATAAAATAATCATTGAAAGACCATTTTATATATACACAAAATGAGTCATTTTAAGGGAAAATGATTTTTTCTGTCTCTGTCCCCTTTATTTATTATTTTAATCTTTATTGTTGAAAGTATTACATAGGTCCTCCTCCCCCCACCCCCATTAATCTCTTCCAGCTCACTCCCCTTCCCCCCTTTCACCCCTCCCCCTGCCCCTGCCCAGGCCCTCGCTACCCCATTATCTGTGCATGTATTCATACACATTCATTGGTTTATCTCTTTCCACCTACCCTCCCCTGCCTTCTAAGTGAAATAAGCCAGTCAGAGAAAGGCAACTATCATATAGTTTCACTCATATGTGGAATCTAAGTAACCAGAT